TAAGAGAAAGCTTGTTGCCAGGCCTACTCTCGTATTGAATTCCAACTGTCAAGGGATCTTTTACTTGTACACTAATGTGTACACAGGACCTTTTTTTTTTGTCCCATCCAAATGACTAACCTAGTTGACGTTAAACCCTCATTTCACTCTCTATTGGGCATCAATGAGATGAAAACAGATACAAGAGACAAAAGAAATTATTTATTAAATATATTGACAGTAGATATTATATATTTACATATTATCTACAGAGATATTTTATTTACATCATCTTCACCATATATCACCCAGATATTATAAACAAAACATCACATATCTTGACTGTGTTAGCAAACTTCTTTTAGTCATTTGAACACAGCTTAACATTAAGAACAAGCAAGAAAATCCCATTGACTAAATGTCAGGCAGTACTTAAAATATATATAATTTTGTGCCAGAGACATATTAAAAATATTAATTATGATAAAGAGAAAAGCCTGAATTTATACAAGACATTGTTAGTGACTCTCATCTTAAACAAACACCGTAATAATAAAATAACCCTTTAAATATACTTTTCTGTTCAGAGTACAAGAAATTCAGTTAACATAGTCAAGGTATGAGATTATAGTTATAATATCTTGACACTGTGAAGATGTATTTACATTTATTTACATATTTTTAAGATACTATCACAGTGCTCGTCTCAGAGATACATACAGAGATAATGGGGGTACTCGATTGAACGTTCCAGAATTGAATTCAATTAATGACAATCAAGTGAAAAGGTAGATTTCGCGCTACAACGCATGTGCCGACTGAATAAGTAAATATCTCAACCTAACCATGCAGCCGAAACATATTCGTTCTGTTTAATTACATCACGATTCTACTCACACCACCTTCGTTGACGGGACTGACAGAACTGTGACAGAACTGAATTCCGCGTTACTCGATTGCAATTCTGTCAATTCGGGACATTCTGGACTGTCAATCGAGCATCCCCATACTTTCTTGACCTACACATTCAAACCTATTCCTCTCCTAGGTCGGGTGTGATTCGATCTCAATACAAAAATTATCGCCTGATCCTAGATAATAAATAAACTAGTGAACAGACCAAAATGATGATTGATGTAAAATTATTACACTGTTCTAAACTGGGCTTTATGTTCAGATCATTTTTAGATTTTTTTTTTATGTATTATAAATATGATTGTTCAGATGATTTCAATATTTTTTTGCATTTTGAAATATTCAAATATGATTGTTCAGATCATTCTGATATTTGTTTGTATTTTAAATATTAAAATATTCTGATATTTTTGTATTTTAAATATTTAAATATGATTGTTTTGTTTTTTTTGTATTTTAAATATATGATTTCATTAAAAAAACATTTTTTCTATAAATCTGTAGTACTTGATTTATACTGATGTTAAGACTGTGTTAACGTTCTCTGAGGTGAACCAGGACCACTGTAAGATTTCTCTTTCAAATTATGTGATTCTCTTTTTAAAACATTCAACAGTGTGTGGGAACTTTCTAAAATCTGAAAGAATACAAAAAAAAAAATGGTATACTATTTTTGTTCAGGTACATGTACCTACATTGGTCATGTGCATTGTGCAATGTATGCCCATTTCTACCATTGAAAATCACATCTGATACTTTGCCGGTGCCATATGAGTACCGGTAATCTGTATCCAAAAGTGAAAGGAAATAAAATTTAACTCCATCTGGGCTAATGAAGAACATACACCATGCAGTGTGCTATGAGGGAATTTTTGTCCTGACAGTGGCTCTACAACCTGCTCTTATTTTGAAATTCAACTGTCAAGGGTTCTCTTACAGCAGGCACACTAACGTATACACAGGAACGGGCACACTAACGTATACACAGGAACGGGCACACTAACGTATACTGACGTATACACAGGACGTTGATTTTTCTTCCCATTGACCGACTAGACACTGTTTCTTCCCATGCCAACTCTTATGCAACACTGGGAATTTCTGAGGTACTTTCTCAGCCAACACCGAGATGAAATCCTGGATCTCCTAGTTAAGGAGCCAGCGCCATTATCACTGGACCACTGGGCTCCCTTTCTATCCGTTAAATTTAATTTACACTTATTTACCTTTTTATAGGCACCTTCCGTCTCAGCAATGGTTCTATCAAATTCATTCCGAGTAGACATCTTTTTTGCTAAACTTTCGTTTACTTTAGCTAATTTTTCTGTTAAAATACGAAGATCGTGTTGTAACTTTTGTTTTTCTTCTTCTTCTTGTAAAATCTGTTTATGAATGTCATCTCGTTTGGTACATAACTCTTCAATACCTGTAATATATAATTAAGTTGGCCCATATTATATTTTGATATCTTTAAAAGTTTAACAACTCAACATACTTAAAACCACTGATCATCATTTGCATTTTTCAGACAATTTACAATTTAGATAAAAAAATATAGACAGTTTTAAAAAAGACTAATGCGTATAGAGTCATTCCATGTCAAGTGAACCAAATTCTCAGAAATTTGTAAAGTGACCCCCTCAGAAAATTATGACTAAAATACATGTTATAGCACATACACATTTATGTTGACTGAGATATGACCATTTGAAAGGGGTACCCTTTTGCAAGATTTGAAACTACTATTATATGGCTCGATTTTTGTAATCTGATTTTGTTCCTACTAGTCAGTCTATATTCTTGAAATTGTGGGCTTTGTAAGAGAATGTTATAGATTCAGAATTTACCATCAAATGATACAGAACAGATACTGTCAACTGTGCACAGAGTACCTTAAGTGCCAAAAAATGATATTTGTTGATATAAGCTGACATTCATATTACATTGATCACATGTGCTTTTCGACCAATTTTCATCTCTATTAAAGGAGCAACATGTAAATCGACAATATTTAGGACCTAAAAATTGACACAAATGGGTAACACATATAATAATGTAATATGAATGTAAAACTGATTTACATTCAATCGTTTCCGTTGTTACTCCAATTTCAAATCCGTTATATTCGGTGAGATACGCGAGAAATCTCAATCGAATGACCATCTCTAGCATCTGGTTATTCCAGTCTACACCTGTAGTATTTATTGAGCATGCTCTCCAGATAGGAATATGGCGTCACTGTTTGACATGACTTGTTGGTACAAGTTGTAGGATATGTCTAGCCTTGGTCTTGGCGTCTCTTGTTACAAATGGCGCTGAAACGCATTCTAGTACACGATTCGTGTACCAATGGTAAAATATTTATTTTGTCTTAAATATTGGATATCAGAAGCCCATCTTTTCACGGTAAGATAACACCATCAATGTTGATTTAAATTCACCAATAAGCAGTGCTTGCAATGTCAAAGACTGTGGGGGATATTGAATTAAAGACTTAGCTACTTTAAGGTTCCAAGGAATAGAGCCATACACTCTTTTTACGTTTTCAAGTACCAAGTACATGATTGTAGCCTACATGTACATAGGATTAGGCCTACATGTCATTTCGGTCTCGTGTCAGTTCGGACTTACGACATTTCGGGCTCAAAAAAATATGGCCTCAATGTTTCGGACTCGGGGAGGTGACATTTCGGACTCGGGTAGGTGACGTTTCGGACTTGGGAATAAGTTGGAAGAGAAAGGTTGAACACAACTGTCAAATCATAGATAGCAGTACCAATCGATATATTAGTGCATACAAAGAAAACTCTCTTTGGAAAATATTAGAAATGGCAACGATCAAAGCAGGATAATTAAAGCTGATTAACTGATAATCCCTATCCTATGTTATTGTAGTATGCGCAAAGAAACCTTACACTACAGTTCTTTAGTGGAGGAGGAAAAATGTGAGTTGTCAATCGGCGATAATGGCGGCCGTGTGTTAATTCCATTATTCCGAATTAGGCTTTCAGAATTATAAAAACATTAGCAGTATTACTAAATATACACAAATTTTCAACAATATTTTATTGCCAAGTTCAATACTTGCCGATGAACAAAACAAAATAAAACAAGCAGTGTAAAATCAGTGTTATCTTTTTATTAGCGGTCTCAAGAATTGCTGATCAATTAAATAAAACAAAACAACTAACTCACATAAAACGAAAAAAACAACAGCTGTTACAAATATATAACACAAATTTTCAACAGTGACAGTCTTAATTATTCATCCGAGTCCGAAACGTCACCAGACCGAGTCCGAAAAGTCGTCAAGTAAGTCTGAACCGTTGTCAAACTGAGTCCAAAAGGTCGCCTGTGTTGAGTCCGAAATGACGCGAAACCGAAATGGCGTGCTACCATACATGTAACATACTGAGGTTTGGACTGACAGTGACGACAGATTGACAGATTGATAATAATATTAATATGTGGCAAAAACAGTTCACCCATATGTGGCTGTAAATAAAATAAAAAAAAAAAATGAAAGAAAAAATACTGTATTGATTGATACAGTATTTGATCATACATGATTGTTAGTATATATAAATTGTAAGAACAAATTATCCAATGACTTTATTATTTGCAGTCTTTGACCGTTACCATGGAAAACCGCCAAAAGAAAAACAACTCAACAACTTGCTCTGGCACAATCTAAATCACAATATATTGATTTTGAAATGGATATACTGGTACAAACACTTACACTTTACTAATTCGTTGTTATATGTCTGTAATGCTGCACCTTGCTGTGACATTTTTGGCGTTAAGAATGGGAGAAGTCAGATTATGACTAAGTTTTGTTTTGGTTTAAAACTTGTCTGAACACTGCTTTGTGAAGTACGTCATAGAAATCGAAGTAGTTGGTCTCTTATGCCTTTGCCTAAAAGTTAATGCGTAAAAAAAAAAAAAACGAGTAGATTAACATCTGAGATTTGAAATAAAATACGAAATACTATTAAAATTAGTTCTGATTTTGGAAAGAAGAATATTTCTATGGAAATGCATTTTTAACTTGGTGATTGCTTTTTGATATAAGCGATTAAAAATAAGAGTTATGTCCCGAGAAGGCTCTTCAAGAAATTGAAAACATAAATGGACCAAACCGGAAGTTCTACGGTTTTACTGAATCACGCCGAATAGTAAAATTTGGAAAGAATTATCGTTGAATCGACAGATTAATTATGGCTAAAGAACCGAAAGATGTCGGCGTTTATTTGACAGAACAGCAGAGGAAGAGTTCAGGCGACTTAGCGACAGAATGGGGGAAAATAGAAGAATTATACAACAAAAAATTATGGCATCAATTGACACTCCAACTTCTAACATTTGTGAAAAATCCGGTATTTTCAAAGGGTGATGGTCTCGTCAAAATGTACGAAAATTTCATATCAGATTTCGAACACAGAATCAATCAGCAAGCTTTAATGCAACTTGGCGTTTGTATCGTAAAACAGATCACTGATACAAAACAGGCCATAGAATTTCTTGAAAAAATGAAAGAGAAATTGAAGGGGAACCCTGAAGCTACCATCTTATGCGCGACTACAGTTGGAACAATAAAACTAAGGAGTAAAGATTTTGAGGGAACTAAGGCAGTGGTTGAAGAATGTTCAGCAATGTTAGATAATATAGATGGTGTTACATCAGTCCATAGTGTTTTCTATGAGCTTTCAAGTAATTACTATAAATTGATGGGAAACCATGCAGAATATTATAAGAATGCTCTGCGTCTTCTAGGCTGTGTTGAAGTTAAGGATATACCTTCAGGAGAACAAACAGAAAGAGCCTATAATCTGGGTTTGGCAGCCATTCTGGGAGAAGGAGTTTATAATTTTGGGGAATTGTTAGCTCATCCTATTTTAGAAAATTTAAAGAAATCCGAAAGAGCATGGTTGGTGGATTTGATGTACGCATTTAATTCTGGAAATATAGCCAAATTTGATGACCTTAAGAAGCAATGGCAGGGACAACCTGACTTAGCAGCGAATGAGTTCCCGATGAGACAGAAGATTTCTTTATTATGCTTGATGGAGATGACGTTCCGTAGACCAGCCACCAACCGACAGCTTAGTTTTAAAGATATTTCTTCAAGTGCCAGAATACCAATTCCTGAAGTCGAATTATTAGTCATGAAAGCTTTGAGCTTAGGGTTAGTTAAAGGCTCTATCGATGAAGTGGATCAGAAAGTTCACATGACGTGGGTTCAACCTCGAGTTCTGGATAAGGATCAGATTTCAACGATGCAATCTCGACTTGACCAGTGGTGCGAAGATGTGAAACAAATGGAAAGACTTGTTGAAGTGCGAGCTCACGATATTCTAACATAAGACATTTAAAATTAGAATTACATGTATTTCCATCATTTCCTCGTGTCATTGTTTATATTATTGATAATGTTATCAGTTGGTCATTACTAGAATCCGTAAATATATCATAAAAATCTTAAAATTTGTGAATTTGTGGCATTTTTGTTTTCTTTTTGTTTTTTCACTTTGGTAACATTGAAAGATTACAGGCCTACAGTTCTGCATCTTTGTTTTTATTCAAAGTTATCTGCAGTGCTTGTAGAGTGCAGCTTTTTCTGACATACTTGTACCTACAGTTTTTGGTTTGGTAGCAAAATAGCCTTTTAAGTTAAAGCGATCAGAGTCAAAGTTGCACTTTGAGTATGGCATGGCTCACTGAACAGGAGATATGAGGTTCGATTCAGTTCAGTTGTTGGCCAAGTAAGCCTCTCAGGACTTTCCAGTCTGATTACCCCTTGCCAGTGGTGCAGAATGAAGGATTGAAGGATTTGGCATGGAAATCACAATCTAGTCAATCTTAAAGGTACAAAAATGTGCATATAAAATAATCTTTGGCAGTTGGATTTTGATGAAACTGAAACTACATTGTAGCACTCAGTATCACAACTTCAGATTTGATACATATTATGATTCAGTTATTGTTGTGATCTGAATCTTGATCACTGTAGCAGATGTTCTTGATCGACTTGATCTACTGCTGACAATTTTGGTGTCTTTTTAAGTGAGTGGTCAGATTTATCCCATTTTCACAGCAGTTTACATATTCTACTTACAGCTTTTCTAAATTACACAGCGCATGCCTATCTTCATTAACCTGGTTGGTGCTGAAAATGATGTCATTATTTTGTCAGCTCGGATTCCAGTGGGCATCATCTTTATAGTCAAATACATATCAAGTGAAATTCATTTTGAATGGAATTAATACTATTTGTTCATATTGAAATACACAACATTTGGATCCAAGCTGGTGAACACATGAAATTTAAACAAAAGATTTGACTCAAGCTGGAGAACACATGATATTCAAACAAATGATGCAATCATTGTTCCCCGACTAAAATTTTGGTATGTACTCTGCTGGTGTTACTATGGTTAATAAGTTTATGGAGAAACCGATTGTGGTCTGGTACCAGTTGATTAAAGTGGATTTATTTCCCTTATATAACAAGTGCAGGAGAACCGTACTACGCAGACATACCTGTGGTTAAGATACAATACACAGACATTGCAAGCAATAAGGGTGGGGTTAGCTTCTCTCTCTCTCTCACTCATGACATGAACTATTTTTCGAAAATAAATGTCAGTAAACGCGTTCAGTTTTAGGAAAAGGGGGCATATCTCCGAAACAGAAGGTCCGATTTATACCAAAATCAAACTCTTTCGAGACTTTTGTACCTTAACATTGGGTGCCTTCCCAAAAGGTTGGACAGGCGACCCTACTCCTAGTCCTTGTCACGTTCAACCGAGGAATCGAAACCCCGCCAGTTGACTCAATGACAGACCGTATGATATAGTGCACGCGTGCTAACCATTCGGCCATCCCCCCCCCCCCCATCCGTAGGCCTAACTCAAGGAGGTGGGTTATTGTAACGGGACATTAAGGTTCAATTTTAATACATTGACACATGTTATTTAATGAAGATTATTTAATTAAAGATACATTAGTTAAGAGTTTAATAAAGAGTTGGCGATTCTTGCTAAACTAATTCAAAAATAGATGATAAAAAAAATAAATATTGAAACTTTCAGTCCAATTACTTTATTGTGAACGGAGTTGTCATTGTTGGAAGTTTCGTCTAGACATAGGCATCAAATGTGTCCGCACCGTCTACAAGAATTGCCGATCGTTTGATTGACAGACAATAACTCCACCCACATATTCTCGATTATTAAATAACATTCTCGATGGCTATAGTACCCTCGCTTGGCAGGCCTTTCATCGGAGGTTTCCGGTAGTGACGCCAGTCGGTTATTTATTGAATTAATTTTAAACGGACTACTGTTTAAATCCAAGCTGTATCCAAGCCAACCGAGAGTCTACAGACTTGTCATGTAAATAAAGATTAAAATAATTTCTATAACATCTGAAGCCTAAATAAAGACTTGCAATATGCAGATGTATGTTTAATGGATGTAAATATTTTTTCTGTGATCTGGTTCGCCTGTAGTATTGTTAACATTAATATAAATATATACAAATAACCCTAACCTACAATCTCGACAACAATCACGTGCCCCAACCTTATTTACATCTCAGCGACCGTGACAAAAGTTGAGCGGTAGGCCTACTATCATTTGCTTCTGTATGATGACAACCTACGGGTAATGTATAAGCCTCCCATAAAACACGGTAAATTTTATTTTGTTTTTTTCCCGAAAAAAATTGCTTCTTTACTTGATGTTACCAAAACTTTCTCTGGACCGTGGGCGGTTTTTAGTAGGACGGCACTGTAGTGATCCGCTCAATTCGCCCGACTGTGCTCTCTAGTATACTAGACAATTCACTGGTTGGGTTTGGAAAAATGCTTGTTTATATTCGGTTGGTTTAATCATAGGGCCTCCGAGAGACATCACTATGGTCACATTCACTTACACTATTCCAGAAACTACTGGTAAATTGCAGAAACTGTAGTTCCATCTGGCCGCATCGTTAAACTTCTGTTTCTTTCAGAAGAAGGGTGCACCAATTTAACGCAAGCTGTGCAGTCAGAATTGGGGCGCCGCGGTGGCTCAGTGAGTAAGGGGCTGCATGGCTAATCAGGAGGCCCTGGGTTCGATCTGGCGTGCTTGCGCCATGCCAATAGTGCAGAATGGAGGTCCTGGCGAGGAACAACATCTGTTCTATCGAATGGAACCAAAACAAAGAAGGCCCTGTGTAAACGCGGGCTTACATCTAAAACACCCCTTGGTAATTGAATCCCAACTGTCAACTGTTCCTTTACGTGCACGCCAATGTGTACACGGGACCTGGGTTTTTCGTCCCATCCGAACGACTAGCCACTGTTCCTTGTTAGACCCCCAGTCCTACACCACTGGCAGGGGGGAAACCACGCCGGAAAACCCCGAGACCTGGGGCCATATTTATAAGAATTCTTAGAGTTTTCATAACTTTTACTCTAAGACTTCCTAAAACAACATTTAGTTAAAAGTTACTCTTTAGAAATATTTATAAAGGGTCTTAGAGTTACTTTTAACTAAATGTAAGACTTGGGTCCTAACCAAACTCTTAGCGATGTAACCATGGGAAATCCGGGGATTCCCTGAAGTTATTTATAGCTCAGTGTTGATGTCATGCAATCACTCTACTCACTGTAGGTTGACTGACGCCGAAATCGTCACCACTACACAGTTGCATTTTACCAGTAGCTAGGAAACGAAGCGTAATGGCGATCTTCATCTCAGCGTCGATTGCGAAATTTCGTTTAGTAGGACTCGTAAGTAGATGCCGAACTAAATCTGTCACAAAAAGAATCCCACCCATGTCCATTCGATATCTCCTTATCAACTCGTCATTGTTGTACTCCACTAAGAAATCTCTTCTTGTTTTAAACTCTCTTAGGCGGCGTACACGGACGGTCATGTTAACCAAGATAAGAGTACTTTTAACAAGTTAGGAGTGCTACAGGAGGACTCCTAAATATGTGTCATAGTTAGGAGTAATTCTTAAAGTAAAATGTTTTATAAATAGGTCTTAGGAAAATCTACAAAGTTAGGAGTAATTTTTGACAGTTAAGAGTTGGTTCCAACTCTTAGAATTTTTATAAATACCGCCCCTGTACTTTTAGATTTTGGTTTCAACATACTAAGCGGAATTCGATTCACCTACTAATTCTAGATTCGCTTTACTCTGTCGACTGTCGAACAAAAAAAAACCTCTTAATTCAACATCGGCTCTAATCCGTGGACTTAAAAGTTTAAATGTTGACAGATATCCACTTCTTAAAACAAATCGACAATACAAATTTAATTAAATCGACACTTTCAGTTTTTACGCAAATCAAAGAGTTCTAGCCATGTTGGGGGTATATATGCCGAATTTATAAAAAGGACAATTGCTTGTGTAAAAAATACTATAGCTAACATCAAGAATTGCCCCTGTATGTGGCCTGTAATGGCGATGCAAAAGGCTCGCTGCATTTACGGAAAAGAGACCTTCAGATAATATGTATGTTCTGGGAGGCGGGGTTGGCGAGAAAACGTGCCTGGGGAGGGGTTGGAAGTGGTACTCTTCCCCGATAATATAACATTCAATTTCATCAGTCAAATCACCCAACCACCAAAGTTGTATAGCATGTCATTTGGGGGATCCGGGTGCCCCCCCCCCCACGTGGTTCCGCAGTGGTTCAGTGTTGGCCGAAAAGGTTCCACGTGATTTTCCAGCCAGGTCCTGCACCCTCTTGTCAGTGGGGCATGTCGGAAGGCCTTGCACGGAAAGGCATCTAGTTGTTCGGAAGGGACGAAAAACTGAGGTCCGCCCGTGTACTCGTTGACGTGCACGTAAAATAACCCCTGACAGATGGAAATCGTTTAAGAGTATTCGGCAACCCCGCTGCCTTGACAATTGTCCCTGCATGGGGTATTACCTGTCTTCATTTCTGGTTTTTGTAATCAGTGTTCGAAATGTCGACAGAGAATATTCACAGGTTTTAAGCCAGGAGAGAGAGAGAGAGAGAGAGAGAGAGAGAGAGAGATGGGGTTTAACGTTCACTCGACATAAACTAGGTCATTTCGGGACTAACACATGGTTCAATTTTATTTCAATAATCCGCTTGCGCGTAGGGGACTTTAGCAGTGGGAGGAAACCGGGGGGCCCAGAGAGAAAACCCACGAGGTTGGACAGGCGACCCTACTCCTTGTCACGTACAACCGGGGAATCGAAATCCCGCCAGTTGACTCAATGGCAGACCGTATGATACAGCGCGCAAGTGCTAACCGTTCGGCCATCGGAAGATTTTAATATTCATAGGGTTTAAGTGAGGAAGTCATGTAATAAGATATCAATCAGGTCAACATTCGACTGAATATTGTTTTATAGTTGAGTATTATCGTTCATGAAGCCGAAGACTGGAAAGAAATGTCTATCGTTAAACATCAGTGCACAACGACGACTTGAGTCTACGGCTACTAAATATTTGCACGTATAGCGTCTTATCAGTTATGATAACATGAATATATTGATTGTCATTCCCCGAGCTCAGGTTCAACTGAGCTGATAAAAGCCTGGTATTTATAAATAATATAGGACGGGGAGGACGATCGTACAGGTAGGGCCGACTATTAACGGAACGACGGACCATCGACGACAGAATTTCGAAAATTGAAGTCGTACGTGTGTACACAGTGGAATACCGCGAGCACAAAACGTGAAACACTTTTTGTGCTTTCTGTTACAGAAATAAACAAATGTGAAGAGTTTGTTCGATGTGTTTATTATGTAAACGAGCGAATACACCTAGCTGAAACCTAAAACTAACAAAGAGTGTTTGTTAAATTCTTATTTAAAGATTATTTTGTTGTGAGTGCACAGTTTTACTTACACCTTCATAAGTAAGAAGGAAACAACAAAAAGTCATGATGAATAGTGTCAGCATTAACGGTGAAAAGCACGTGATTAGATCCGAAGACGAATGGATTATCATTCAGAATCGAACCTTTGTGAACTGGGTAAACCAACAGTTAACCACGTGCGGGCGTCAAGTGACCAATTTGGAAACTGATTTCTGTGACGGTGTTAATCTTGTCGCGTTAGTAGAATCTTTACAGTTCCGTAAAATTGGAAAAGTCTACACGAAATGCAAAAGTCGTATTCAGATGATCCAGAATGTAAATTTGGCCTTCAAAGCCATAACAGAAGACAACATTCGATTGGTTAATATTGGTAAATATGAATACAATTACAAATCTATTTTCAGTGGCTTAATTATTCAAGAAGTGTGGGCGAGGTACTCCATAACACCACTCCCTGTCAAATCGATCTTATGGTATAACTTTCACCATATCAATCTCATTTCCATGAATTGTTATTTTTCTCAGAATTGTGACTAGTATGATCTATAGTCACGTTCGTCCAGTAATCTATTAGGGTTTAATGCCCCTCTTGTCCTCGCCAACCGCGAGGGTAATAAAAACGGGGATGCTATTGGGGATTTTCGCTTACTTTTAATCGAATTCATATTATCAAAGGTTCTTTTACGTGAGCACCAACTAATACATGAGTGGTCCTCAATTTTTCGTCCCACCCGAACAACTAGACACATTATCCTGGTAACACCCTCGTCCTGCACTACTGAAAAGGGGAAAGGAAACAAAGATGTAAAATCCCAAGAAACACTGTCGACGATATCTTTAAACTAAAATAAACTTGACGGGGAGAGAGAGAGAGAGAGAGAGAGAGAGAGAGAGAGAGGGGGGGGGTAACATCCAATTGACTCATATTAGGTCATTTCGGGACTCAATGGGGTTTAACGTCCACTCGACACAAACTAAAACATTTCGAGACTAACATATGGTTCAGTTTTATTTCAGTAATTTGACAAGTAATAACAATTTATTTGACACATACAGTCCAAGTAATATGTAAAGTTTATAAATTTATTAAAGATGAATTTCAAAGTACAGTTCTTTCTTATACATTAATGTATGTAATCTTTTATATGCATCTAGTGTACTTATGGAAAACAGTTACTGATATATTTAGGGGGTACAGTCAGATAATATATTAGCAGCTGTTTTCCTTAGTTTTTATATACTTGACAAAGTAGGTGTATAAAACATGATCTTCGACATATCGTTATATATTAAAATCTTTATTACCCGTATAACTCAGTATCACGTACAGGCCTTCGATCCGAACCACGCCCCTTGATCAGCCAACATGTTCATAAAATTTTTATTACCCGTATAACTCAGTATCACGTACAGACCTTCGTTCCGAACCACGCCCCTTGATCAGCCAACATGTTCATAAAATTTTAATAAGCGCCCATCCCACCCGCTCATACGCACCCATCAATTTTTAACCTTCAAATTTAGTGTATACTTTAGTTTCCAATTGACAAGTTTAGGTACTCAACAGTCTTTAAAGGGCGCATGGCTCTATTCTTTGGATCCTTAAAATAGACGAAAATGGGTCTAAAAACTCATATGAAAGTAATATGAATGTACATGTATACAAAATGATTTATATTCAATTTTCTAAAAAAATAAAATGATTGTGGTTTTTAAGAAATTATGTTTGGTGAATAAAAATAGCCTACACGACTCGTGCTGTAATTTTAAAATGTTCATTGTGTTTTAAATATGGGATATTGGGTTCCTATATTTTCACAGCAAGATATAACCACATCAATATTGATTGAAATGGAGCAATATTAAATTCTTATTCTTGTTTTTAAATTTGATTATTATGGGAAATATTTAGTTAGAGGTCTAGTTCTTTTAAAATTGTAACCTCGTGGGTTTTCTCCTGGTCCTCCGGTTTCCCCCCACTGCTAAAGACCCCTATACGGGCACGCGAATTATTGAATTAAAATTAAACCATATGTTAGCCTCTCTCTCTTTAAAATTGGTTAAATTTTGTGATACTACACTCTAAGCGGCTCTGATTTTGACGAAAAGAAGCGTTACAAGCATCTGGGTGATTAATACGTCGAATACTGTTAAATATTTTGCAATACCCTGAAGACCTATGGGTTGTATATAATCCATCTATTTACGTATTGTTACTACGTTTTATTGACATTCCTTTTAAAACTGACATAAATAGGTAAATACGATATAGATTTAAGGTAGATAATAAAATATGTATATAGACTCTGACTTCAAAAATATACCATAAATACATGTAGTAAGGACAAACCAATATACTTCTTCTGGCGTTTGGGGGGTTGGATGGCCGAATGGTTAGCGTATGCACTCTGTACCATAAGGTCTGTCATTGAGTCAACTGGCGTGGTTTCGATTCCCCGGTTGTACGTGACAAGGAGTAGGGTCGCCTGTCCAACCCCGTGGGTTTTCTCAATGCGAATTATTGAAATAAAATTGTACCATATGTTAGTCCCGAAATGACCAAGTATGTGTCGAGTGGACGTTAAACCCCATTTCTCTCTCTCTCTCTCTTGGGGGATTTGATTAATAAATAGTCACTTGAATCACATGGTAGATGTTTTATTTAAAATTTCAAAACATAAAAATTTCAAACCAATAGTTCCTTTAGGGAGGTTGTTTGACCGGGCGCTGTCCTCTGAAATGGGGAAGAGGGGTATTTATATATTGCAGCTTAATAGGGACGATCCGAGACTATTCCTAAAGGAACTATACAACCAACTACTTTTGGTTTTTAAATTAGTATTTTCCCAAAGAAATATGAAGCCAAATTTTATCAGGTTTCCCGAAGAACCGAATATCGAATTGGTGTGGCCTAAGATATATTGCCACATGATCTTCAAACTATATACACCCTGTATAAACAAACATGATTATCGATTGATGTCAGTTTAAATTTCACTTTACCCATTCAGTATTTGATGATGAACTTTAAAGTAGCAATATAGTATGAAATTTTACCCGGACAGCGGGAATAAGGTCTACTCTTATATTGAATCCCAACTGCGAAGGGATCTTTTACGTGCTCGCCTATGTGTACACGGGACCTCGGTTTGTCGTCCAATCCGAACGACTAGACAGCTGTCCTTGTCAGGCCCTCTGTCCTGCACGACTGACAAGGGGATACCACGTTGGGAAATCCCCTTCAATTCTATCGGCCAACACAGGGAAGGAACTCGCGACACCTGGATACTGAGCCAGCGTCTTACTCACTTAGCCACCGTGGCTTCCCCAGTATATTATGACGAACTTTAAAGTAGCTATACTTTTATTAAAAAGGCAATATGTGAGATTTGGAGAAAGGATTGACCGTTCTTGTCTTGCTACAATAGTTTAAAAATATATAATGACAAATGAATATATTGAAAATTTCAATCAAATTACTTTATTCTGAGCGAAGAAATGAGTGTTGGAACGGTACTGAACAAACTAGGCTACATGTAAGTCTCGATTATCAATTTTATCGTTAGATTTTTTAATCTCACGGGCTTTCTAATCCATTAACATCTCTGCCATCTGATGTTCTAGAGAGTATATTATGGGCTTGTCATGTTAAGAAATGTCTAAATAATAGTTTATATGAAGCCAAAATAAAGACCTACAATAAACATATTTAGCTCTAATATAATGCAGTTTTAATGGCGACGAATTATTCTGTCTTACTGTCACTTTAAACGAAATTAATAATATTCTAACAATCTGTTGTATGAAACAATATCACGAACAGGCATGATCGGCTTTAATTTCACTCTAGTTATTCACTATATTATGAACTTTAAACAGAATTAAAAATGTTCTAAACAATACCACGGATAGATTCCTCTTAACATAAAATGATGTATGATTTCTTTACATATAATAATGTATGATTTCTTCACATAAAATGAATTATGATATCTTAACATAAAAGGAAGTTGGATGACTGAATGGTTAGCACGTGCGCGCTGTATCATAAGGTCTTAACGTGACAAGGAGTAGGGTCGCCTGTCCAACCTCGTGGGTTTTCTCCGTGTCCTCCAGCTTCCTCCCACTGTTAAAGACCCCTACGCGCAAGCGAATTATTGAAATAAAATTGAACCATGTGTTAGTCCCGAAATGGCCTAGTTTGTGTCGAGTGGACGTTAAACCCCATTTCTCTCCCTTATAACATAAAAAATGTAAGATATCTTGACAATAAAAATGTAAGATTTCTTGACAATAAAAATGTAAGATTTCTTGACAATAAAAATGTATGATTTCTTATTGGATTTGTCTCGAGTTATTCCGTATATTGACATAAAAGTTTCAAATTAATCTCAAACATTTTATCCTATACATCGCATTTCATGCTTTCGGTGACAGTGGCGGTAACTCTGAATTTAGATAAGGTTCTTCTGCAGGACTATATCTGAACAATCGCAAAAAGTTTGAAAAATTAACCCAAAAAACTCTGATACAGACTTTTTAAAAGCTCTAAGTGACAGTTTGCAAATAAAAAAAAATTCCTAAAAGCACCAACTATGTGGAAGGACGGACAAACGAATGGACGGACAGGGTGACGATTTCGTTTCGATTATTCAAGTTTTGCCCACCAATTGAATGAAAATTACTACTTATAGCGCTTCTTGAATTAAACTAAAATAAAAAAAAAGAAGCTTATTTGCGAACGAATTACCTAATCGAAAAATCTATTCTGTAAATGAAATCATCAACATGAATTCTTATAATAGTTTTTAGCCTAAAAATAAAATCGTTGTAAAAATGAATATAAATTCAACAATGACAGTGTGTCGTATCGACTTCAAGTTCCGTGTTAGTTTCAAAAGATCCCGAATCAATCATATAACTTTCCAAAGGGAATTATAGAATTATAACTGTTTCTAATATGGAAATATAGAATTATTGTGTGTTCTTATCCTAAATTCCTGTATGGAACAACGGAATCATGGTACATTCCAATTTGAAATTATGCTAAGTTCAGGTTTGGAACAATAGAATTATAGTACATTCCAATTTGGAATTATGCTAAGTTCAGGTTTGGAACAATGGAATTATGGTATATTCCATTTTGAAATTATGCTAAGTTCAGGTATGTAACAATGGAATCATAATATTATTCCAGTTTGAAATTATGCTAAATACAGGTATTCAATAACAGAATGAATGATAGTAAATTCCAGTTCAAAGCTATGCTAGCTTCCTGTATGGAACAATAGAATTATGGAATTATAGTATAATTATTCTAGTTTTAAATTATAGATTCCGAAAGATATGACTGTTTAAGATTATAATTTG